TTCTCATCTGCATTACACGCACTCACCCAGTCAATCCTTCTGCCGCCACCTTGCATTCCATCCACACAGCCCAGACAGCCCAGTCAGACTTGCCAACTCACTCCTGCGCCCTCTCGCAGCAAGGTGTGCTGATCCGCAAAAGCCTGCCAAAGGGGTGTATGCCTGTCGTCCACATCTTTCTCGCCTTGCTGGAGAGGTCGATAGGCCAGCATGACTGCCATCCTGGCATTCACCCCGAGCAAACGGCGGGCTGACGAGATGTGCATGGACGCTACCATCCAAGCCCCTGCGCTTTTTGCTTCGGCACCCATTATCCGCTTACCTCCAGAGGTTAGTCTGAGTGTCGTCTTTTGCAGCTCAAAAAATGCAGACCTTGATCGGTCAGGCTAATCCTTCCGCTGCTTGGCTCAGCTGCTGGACCTCATCCTGGTCAGCCTCGACGCGCATTCTCTGCTGGCTCTGCACTTGACGTGCAAGCGGTTCCAGAGCCACATTGCATCTGCAACGCATCTCTGGAAGCTGCTCTACGATTCGAGGTGGGATACACCCGATGGTGAGCGCACATTGCTCTACCCCTACATCGGTCATCCCTTGGACACCGCCGTCGCAGAGGCTTCATCGCACCATGACGATGCGCCATCTCGCGCAAAGAACAAAGGCAAGACAAAGGCTAAAATCATATGCGAGCAAGGCAATGTCCGGCCCACTATTTCCATACAGAAAAGCCTCCGCTCGCATTTGCGGCACGAGTTCAGACCGGACGAGCAAGCCAAGCGATTTGCGCGTGCTGCAGCGCTGGTGCGAATGGGAGCAGAATGCGAACTCATCATGGTGCGTTTCGTTTCGCTAGCTAAGTCGTGGTCTCGAGCACATTTGTCTGCAGTCTTACACATCCATCCTTGTGTCATGGACTTTGTTGGGTTCCATGTTCGCTCAGCTCGCCAATCAGGCCGAAGTGTGTCGCACGCTGCTTGCTGCTCTGCACTCACGCACCTTGAGGTGCAATCGCGCCAACAGCATTTTGCCACCCAGTCGCGCCTCCCAAACCCTCACCAGACTCTTCGACGACACGCCTGCTGGACGCAGAGCGTTTTCCGTCTGGATATATCCTCGGACTGCTTGTGCTCAGGTCGCTGAATGGCAGCGACAGCAACACAATACGGGCATCGTTGGACAGCGTGGCCACGTCATGCAGGAATCGATTCTGGACGGCCAATTCAGCAGCGCTAGCGTAGCAGAGCCGCTCTTCAAGAAGAACTACAAGGCCAACGCCTCGAAGGGGTCACGTTCCACCGCGGCCTTTCGAGGCGGCGATCGCCGTTCGGCTCGTCTTCGGCATGCCAATACGCCCCAACACTTGAGGTTCATCTTTGAAAAGGCTACGAATTTGGGAGGCGCTTACAAACGCGCTTTGCCCACTTCGCTGGAAGAGATCCCACCTGTGGACGAGGAGCTCGCAGCCGAATTGCATTGTCACTACGGCCCGCGAGAGATGCTCGACGACGTCTTCACCCAAAGTCTGGCGCACAAGCTGCCTAACCGTGGTGATTCGCACCCACGTATGAATCGGAAAGGGACACTGCGGAGCGTGCACAGGCGCAGTGAGGCTCAGTGCAAGCTTTTGCGCGCGATTGGAAGCAGCGTGGAGCACGCCGCAGGAGCTTTCGTTGACCCTGAATCCAGCTCAGAGCTCGAAGATGAGGAAGCTGACCTGATCTCGGACCCTCGACTGTGGTATCCCGCCAACACTCTCACTGGACACGCAGCAAGCCTTGGCAGCACACAAGGGCCATCCGGCGACGTTCTTCTGCGCGCTGCGGCTAAAAGAATCGTTTATGGTGCGTCGCATTGTTTCTTGCAACGTGATAGAAGCTGGTCTGAGAGGCGTTACGCTGACCGACCTGCAAACAGATACCGCTCGGTGGGGAACTTCGAATGGCTGGGTGAGCGCTCGAAAGGCAATGGACGCAAAACACTAGCTACCTGAGTGCTCACAGACTACCAGATCGTCTCCCAGGGTCCCTTCCATGCCTTCGATCAATCGGGTGACGCAGAGGATAATTTGCCGGCCAGTGTAAGGCATCTCGACCCTCTTCTCTGCGAGACGGAACGAAACGAATGTCAATCGCGGATCCACAAGCGGGAAGACCCCACCACACCCCCCATCCTTTCCTCTTCCCTCCCAGAACTTCCACACTACAAGTATGACCCTCAGCTCTCGCCCTCCGCGAATGATGTCATGCGCCGTTTCCAGATCGCGACGTGCTGCGCACCAACTTGGGTCGAATCACAGCTACCATCCTTCCTTGCCAGCCTCACAACAGTCAAGAAAAGACTGTCATGCAATCCTGACGCATCATACAGGTGGCTGCAAGATCATCTATCTCGGTACATGCAATCCGAGCCTGCAGAACACGTGTTCCGATCTCCCGATGTCGTTCTCTTGCAACGCTACCTTTTTGGCGAGACCGCTGCGACCGGGCGCAAACGAAGCAGCTTCAACCTCACCTCTAGTGTTGCACCAGAGAGCGACGTGGAAGAGGGGGCGGAAATTTCGTCTGCGACATCGACTGATGCCTCCGGCGACGATGAGCATAATCTGGGCAATTCGAGCTCCGAGTTGAGCACTGACGGCATCCTCGAAATCATCAGCTTTGACTCCAGTCAAGGCAGTCCCTTTCCCATTGACCAGCCTGAAGACCACATCGCCGGCGCAGCACAAGCCGATGACGATGTGCTCTTCTTGTCCGAAGATGAAAGCGACGAAGATTTCACTTCAGAAACGTCGGATTACGAAGGCATCTTCTCGTTGATGGAAGGGGATGAATTTGGGAGAGACTCAATGGAATTTCGTTTGAGGTTGCTCATAGGGCAAGCACAAGGCGGTCTTGCGAGAAGAGAAATGCGTAATGCAAAGCTACGCAGATTGCTACATCCCGTTCCCCATGAAAAGACCGTCAATTGGCTTGCACTCGAAGCAATACAGACTGTGGTGCGTACAACATTCGATCTGCTCCTTCGCCTAACTTCTCGCTCAAACGTGTTGCGTCTTCACAGATGCGATGTAACATTCTGCACGCTCGGCAAGTTCATCACTGGGGAGTCGCTTTTGCATCAGCAACTGCCGGTCCGCGTTCTCTCAATCCACAGCTTGGTGCCCCGTCGCATGATGACTTTGTGGACCCTGAGCACGCCAGGAACAGGACTTCGCACCTCCTTTTACCTCCCTGGGGATGGGCACACTCGCGAGGCGAGAGACCGCAGCCTCAAGATCTTGAGTCTCCTGACTCGCACGACTGGGCCCACATTGAAGGTGAGAAGCCCATCGACGTCTCGCTGCCCTCCCTTTCGCTCATCGCCTATGCGTCCGAACCCGTCTCGCAGGTGTTTGGATCGGAACGTGAGTGCAGAAAGCGACACGTGACCACATGACACCGAGACGCAGGTATGCGAGTTCTGCGCTGATCACTTTTCTATGCAGCTATGCATTCCTGGACTTCAGCGATTGGCTAGCGTACAATGGCCTCGTCGCTGCGCAGCGAGGCCACACGGCAGGCCCTCATGATCATCAACAGTACAGCAACCCCCCTAAGCTGACCCACGTGCACGAAGCGGTAGGGTGAGTGGCTATCCTTCGTACCTTTCACCACTCACCTCGCTTAACGACCCACACTCCAAACACGCGCCGCCAGAGACTTTTTGGAGCTTCGATTAAGGCTACTCAGTGCCGTCGAGAAGAGCACCAGAGCAGACTTGGTGGATGTCAGCAGTGAATATCAAGATCCTGACTATCCCCCTCTGCACTTTGAAGGTGCCACGCACCATTACATGCTCGAAGAAGAGGACGGCGACGTGAGCGGAGGAGCTACTAGAAGAGGCCGAGTCCACGGCGTCGCTCGCCCGGTATTTGCGTCTTCAGGTGACAAGTCCGTTGGACAAAGAAGAGCCATTGCTGCCATTCATATGACCTTCACCCATAGCTACGACGGCGAGGAGTGAGTCAAGCCTTGACATCACTGGAACACCCATGGCACTACAGCTTACTTGCGTTCGTTTTTTTAGGAGGTGGAAACTCGAGGGCGTTCAGGCCGGACCTCCTGGTTCCCGCGCCGCCGTGTATGGAATTTGGACCGACGCAAACAGGGGAGCTATTCAAGAAGTGCTTCGACGTAAGTCGACACGTGTAGAGACAGTATGCAGATCGCTCTCGACTTGCGCTGAATGCCCGTACCTCTCAGCAACCGATCCATGCGGACCCTGGACCTATTGGCGCGTTGATGAGCGGAAATGGAAAGGTGATTTAGAATCGTGGTCACGCACTTGAAGCCTTCTGACGCGAACTACGCCCCTCACTCAGACGTGCTTGAAGAATTGCAGCAACGTAGACAAGCTTCATCTGAGGCGTCATGAGTGTGATCTAGCCTCCAGCCGCCTTATCACTGAAGACCACCGGCGTACTCAACGCTACACGCCACGCAGTTCACGTCCAAATTTCCCCCGTCCTTGACATCGCGCTTTGTCAGGTCACTAGCAGGGTTGTAAAGATTTCGAATGTCCTGTAGCAGATTGCGACCGCACGTTTAGTGATCATGTATTTGTTCTTCGTAGCGCCGCCATCAAAAGAGCAATTCATCGACCGCATCGCTGGCGCTTCCAACGATCAAGCGCGTCTTGATCTCGCGCGCAGTGCCGGCCCATATCGCATCAGGATGAGCGGAATCGCGCACTGGAGCGCAGCAACAGCGCCCAAGACTGCAGAAGCAGTTGGCGGCGTCAAGGCGCGATACATGTAATCTGCAAAGAGAGGGAAGCAACCTGCGGCCACAGTCCTCACAAAGGTCTGGCCAGCAAGTGCAGAAGCCGCAAACTCCTCGTAGATGTCTGCCAGATAAGCAAAGCTTGCGCAGTGTATTGGGAACACGCCGGCGACTATGAAAGCCAGGGCCACAATGGCGGCGGCCGGGTGCACGTTGGGTCGTGCTGCGAAGGCGTACCAGAAGCATGCCGCAGCAAAGGTCACGCCGCCGACCAATGACCAGCCCAGACGTGCTTCAGGAGGAGTTGGTCGCCCTTCGCATCGCCGCACGACTCCTTGATATACCTTTTCTTGAAGCAGACTTGTGAGAAAGCCTAGCAATGCGCCGGCAACGTAAGCCAATAGCGCACCGCTTGTCTGTAAGTCAGTCCAGCCGTATTCCATGGTGGCCTCAGAGCCATGGACGGGTGTTGGCTGAGCCTTGAAAATGACGTAGGCGCTCTCGATCACAAGATAGCACACTCCGAAAGTGAAGCCAATCCATACCGAGAAGATGGCGACGATCGGCTCAGTGAAGAGGTAGACCAGCGGCCGAGCTAAGTTGCGTCCACAAGATCTGGAGTCGGCTGGATCAGACCCGTTTCGCTCTGGACATCCTAGTCGTTCGTTAGGCGGTGATGAGGGCGATGTGTCTGCGCGACCAGGGTCGAGCAAGCGGGTCTCCTTGCCAAATATTAGCAAGCCAACAGCAACCGATGCCGCCAAAGCCATTGCAATCCATGCCTGCCACCTCCAGCCAAGAGATGCGCTAGCAGCAGTAAGGAGAGGTCCGCACCCAGTGCCTACGTAATTTGTAGCCACGTACGCACTCAGAACGACGCCGCGTTGTGAGGGGTGGAATAGGTCTGCCAGTGAACCACCTACATTGGCTTCGACTACGGACGCTGCGCAACCCTGGATTATCCTTGCCAATATCCACACTGCCGTATGGCGAGCAAGCGCCTGGGGAATGTACAAGAGGCAGAACAAAGCACCGCTCACACTGTAGATCACAAGCCGACCCTGGATCTCAGAAAGCGGTGCTAACAACAGTGGAGCAACGCCCTGCGCTACAAAGTACAAGGCATTGCCTATCAAGAGCGTCTGTTTCGAGGTCTTAAGATCCTTCGCCACGGACTCAGCGATCGGTGCAAATCCAGCGCCATTGACGTTGACCGCGATTGTCAACGCAAACAGCCAAAACACCCTGCAGAATGAAACTCGATCCGTGAACATCTGCACGTTACAAACAGAGACCGACCAGTCTTACGCGCTGTATTTTGCTCTGCTAGGCCAGGTCCAAGGATGCTGGGCCATGGTCACCCGTGACACTTCTTGAGCTTCGGTCTCGGCGAAGCAGGTAGAATTGCCACCAACGCGTTTCTTGCTTTGGCGAGCCGCTTTGACAAGTGTCGTGGTCGGAAGAACGTTCGACGTCATGCTCAGCGCTTGTCCATGAACAAATGCAATAGTCACTTGCCTACTTATGGGCGAGCTACGAATCGACCCAGGCATCTCATACAAGATTGAGGTTGAGGGTATCTAGGCTATAAGTGCTGTATATGAAGTTGGCTGGGGGGTGGAATGAGGTGCTAAACTGACTGATCTCGATTGTGCTGTCGTTCATTATATATGTTGAAAAATAACAGGCTCGATGGCTTCAGCAGAGCATTTGAAGTCAGCTTGCTGGCAACACTCGCAATCTGTTGCGATGTCCGGGGCTAAGCAGCCCCACGAAGAAGTATGACAGCTGCTACCAGCGCCCAAACAAGCGCTCGGCCAAGCTTCCACAGCATCATCATTTGGGCCAGTCAACCAGCACTTCCGCACGTGGCGTAGCAAGGAAGCCACGCTTATCAAATTATTGGAACCTCCGTGTAAGGGCTGCCTCGAGCCAAAATGTTTTCCTGAGTCTTTCCTTTAGCCCTTTATGTGAGAACCAGCGTGAGGAAATTGTTTCCACACCGATCGTCAGCCCACTATGCGAAAATCAGCGTGAGAGAATTTCTTCCAAACCGATCGATCACTTGAAAAGTCAGCAGTTGACGTGAGAGGCTGCAAGAGAGGAATGGAGAGCAAGCCGATGCGGGTCGATCTTGTTCAAGGGCTTTACTTGCTACACTGGACGCGTGTTTATCATGTATGACTGCTGGCGGACGCTGTCTAATTTGTGATACGCGTTCTTGTCCCGCTCTTGACTCGTACTATCTATACTTTATGTTTCCACAAGGAGTCGAAGACTATTAGCTACCAGTCTTTGGCCTGTCCGCCAAGGGAACTTCCGTTTCGAGCTCGTACTAGCCTAAACCCATACGTCCCGCTTCGAGCTCAGGATTTATCGTCTATGTCGTAAGCTCAGAAGCACCTATGACGGCAGAAAAGACGGGCACCTGATACAATTGAGCGACTCAGGCAAACTGCAAAGATCCCTCCCCAATAAAGGAACCCCCACACCCTGCTTTTAGCTAACAAAGCCTCATAACGAAAGTACAATCGACTTGTAGCCGCCGTATTCTCTGCGATCAATCTTGTACCATGCTGCATCACGACGAGATTGAGAAATTCTGAAAGATAAAGAGCAATGCATGAGTGCGCGGAACATCGACAAGTCCAGCGCATGAGACTCGACGAGTCGCTGAGCTAGACATATCTCAACGTTCCTTACTCTGAGATGGAGCCGCTCAGGCAGCTTAGTCTTCAAGAGCTATGTGCTGCAACTCATTTCGCCAGACGTCATCACCGTGTAAATCTTGGGGCCTCGCGTCTTGTTTGCCAGTTGCCTGTCCCATATCTCACTTTGGGAATGCTCGACTAAAGCTGAAGTCTGACTGTAAATTGCATTTCGCACTTCCTTCTTGCTTCCAAGGGCAATTTCAAACGCTGACAGCAAGAGTCGAAGCCTGATTTTCCTTCTTGCTTCCAAGGGCAGTTCCATGAAAATGCTGACAGCAAGAGTCGAAGCCTGAAAGAGATATGAGCGCCTGTTACTTCAGCGATAGCAGCAATACATCGCCCGTCTCATCTGTCCGTTGTCGTTTCTTTTCGGCAAACATGCAGCGTAAAGATCCACGCACTGTAAAGTTTTGTAAATTCCCGCCGGGACTCATGAGGGGGCGATTTGTTGTAATTCTATCGTTCAGAAACCCTAAAACAGAGGCTCCGACACTCCCTGAGCAGCTTGATGGGCTGTGAAATTATGCGTCGAAAAGCTAAAGTTGACGAAAAAATACAAGCTCTGCTGTACCGGCTGTGGCGCGTGACGTTGAACGACCCCTCAGCCACACAATCTCTGTGTCCGCCTTTTCATTTCTCGAAATTCCAGGTAAAATCAAAACATTGGGCTGGATTCGAGTGATCTTTGTAACGTTGTGGTGAAAAAGCCAAGTCCTCTCAGTGTACAGCAGAATCTGACCATCAACTTCAGATTGGAGCTCAGAATAGCTAACATGCAGCTGAGAAACTTACGAACTCGAAGACCTACTGAAACAAGGTGTACGAATGGCGTGAAGTGAGACCTTGTGCTGACCAGACGAAAATCTGCTATCAGAACTCGATTATCTGAATTTTAGTCGCTATTCATACTGGTAGACTTGTAAAAAAATGCTAGTCAGACAAACATTCTACGATCATCTTCTGCTTGTTCCGAACCGACAGATTATGTGCAACTGACATCCTCCAAGAAGCGCGTTGGGAGATGTGGCGACATCAATTTGGTAGGTCGTAATCGCATCACGCAACTACTACGTTCAACGGAGTCCGCTCGAACTGAGACTTCGAGGCTTCAGGAGCACTTTGAAGCGGAAGTTTCGCTGGTTGCAAGTGCTGTCGACCCTGCCACATATAGACCGATCATCTGGGCCGGATAGGGCAGCCTGCTTGTCTTGTTGTGTTTAGTGGGCTTCCAGCGAAGTCCTTCCAAAACAGCTCGCTGTAGTGCGATGTCTATTCTAGCCTGACAACCCTGGGACGCCAGTACAAACATTAATTCTAACGCAGACCGGGGCAAGGCTCTCTCAGTGAAGACACAGCAATGATGATACGCTAATCTGTCTCCTTGACCACTGCGGTTGTGAAGCCAGGCGCTGATGGCTCGAAATCAACGTGCCCGGCTCACGGCCACGACGGCCCAGACGTTGCGCGGATATGAGTTCCTCAGCAAGTAAGATGAAGCTTGACTGCTGAGGCTTTGTGGAACAGCTATGAGCGCGTAACGAACAAAACCATTTATCATGTTCTGCCGGCGGAAGCTCATAATCCATGCTCCGTCATCCACAAGCCGTTTTCTGGAAATGATCCCTCAGCAACTTCGGCGATGTAGCCATTTGGCACTGGCGGTGCTGCTGTGTGATTTCTGGCTCTATCCCTCAGGTTCAGTGAGCGCAATTTGCGGCGAGCGCAAAGTGCGGCAATTCCAAATATCACAATGCTACTTGAGGATTCGCATTAGTTGTTTCGTTTTTTGTCTGTTTGTTGCATTACTTTCTAGCGTCACGCCCGAGATTGTGGAAACCTGTTGTGCATCACGTAATGCGCAATGATCTGAACCCCGAGGCGCGACTCGCCAGTTTTGGGCGAGCAGCCATCTGAGGGTGGCTCATCTGAGGCATCGTCGCAGTGACGCAAAATGGTCACGACTGTGAATGCTATGTGCGCGATCGAGGTGTGCGATTGGATCGAACACACCCCGCAAGAAGCCGAGTAAACCAGAAGGCAGATGCACAGAGTCCGCATGATCATTTTTGATCGATCCTTCCCTCACAACGCGAAATCAAGCATGATGTGCGACCTGATAGGTAACACCCCAGACCGCCAATGTTGGGAGCACGAATCGTGTCAGTAGACCGGCCTACAGCTTCAGCTCAGGCAGACGGCACAATCCTACAGATTGGCAACACTGGCCATAGGACTGATATGGGTGCTGACTCGAAAAGCGAGGGCCCAAGAGCTGCTCTTACGTATCGGTGCTAGATGGCTTTGGAAAGCAGCGTCAAGCTCAGTCTCTTTCAAATCCAAGCAACCTACGGACTCCTCGCCAGCAAATGGTAGGCAGCAGGTCACATCAACGACATTCCACAAACCGCACTAAATCAGTGTACGCCACTCAAATTCTCGTGACTAGCAAGAAAGGCTGTATGAAGGTGTGGAGTGCAGTGCTCACAGAGGGTACAACAGTGCTTGCCACAGATGTGTTTATCAATAAGCTGCGCAGTGCCCTTGAAGGGAGCTGAGTCTCACGACCAAAATCAAAACTTGGGAGCAATCTTGATAAGTTTTAGGACTTCCTGATTTATTATCAAGGCATCCGACGCAGGGCTGATCTTGCTCGAGACTCCTCACTCAGACTCTCATGACTGCAACTGAAGTCACGACAGCGCACGTGACTGGTTGTTCCTCAGTCCGAGTCTCATGTGGAGGCTGGACACATGCTTCGCTGCGCGCTGCTTTGTTCAACAACACGCGCCGCGCCAGCCAGATGCAGCTCTCGTAAGCAGCTGACACCATCACCACCTCACAGACCTTCATGTGCTATGCTAAGCGGGTCGATCATTAGCACTAGGCACGATCTGCTGAGGTTAGCACTGGAAGTGCAAATCTCGCAGCTACAAGGCGATGACTCCGACGTCGAGTTTGAGCTCGAGGTCACAGAATACGTATTAGAGGAGGTGAAGCATCAAGGCTTGACTTTGGACGCCTCCAAGATCTTAGACCATGGTGGCAGCGTCACGATGAAG